CTGTTTCCGCCTGTGTACTGTACGCCTAGCCCTTGATAGGCACATTTTTCTCTTTTAATCTAGCAATGACCCAGAGATATGGACTATCAAAACACCCATTCCCAACTTGTGGAAACTGAGGCACAGAATAAGAGGATAAGAAACTTGCTTGCCAGGCATAGGGGGACCTTTATAGACCTAGTCTGTATCTAGTGGTCACAATAGTACTTCCGGCATACATCTGCTGTGTGCCAACTTGTGCATGGCATCACCACTCTTTTGGCAAAAAGGAGAAGATTCTTCTCTCTAGGGGATGGACCATCAGGCATTTTTTTCACCCGTTCTGACTTTATGAGGTGGCAGACTCCCTCTCCAGTGCTGTGGCAGACATCATCAGTGGAAGGAATGTCACTAGCTGAGGTGATATGCAGGGTGCTGGAACATCAGTTTTATCATTGTTTAAAGGCAGGAACTGAGTTAGGATCCCTGCCTTCCCTCCCAACTTCAGCATTCTACTGTTCCTGCGTTCCCGGGGAGCTGGATGTGAGTGGAAGAGAGGACCACTTGTTACTAGGCAACCGGCACCCACCTCACCCATGTTGCCATGGTGACGATGAAAGTTGGGCTGATGGGATTACCAGCTCCTGCTAATTGCATATGAGCGCTCAAGGTCTGTCTCTTTCTTGCTTGTTCACTGGCTCTGACTTTCTTGTTCTTCTAGAAACTGTGGAGAGTTCTCCTCCTCTTCTCCATCTGTAGAGTGCCCTAGGCAGCCCTGCTGCAATGGAAAGCAACTGGAAATGGAGCCTAGCTGTGTTTCTGAGTAGCTGTGTGACCTTGCACAGGGTACCCAGCTTCTCTGGGCCTGCATTTCCTCATTTTCAAAATAAAGGTGTTGGGCTAGTGCTGCCTGTCTCAGGTTCTTCCTGGCTCTCAAATCCTTTGATGCCTAGGGAGCATGTCAGGGGAACAGACCACACTGTTACTAGGCAACCAGCAGGCACCCTGCCCAAGTTGCCTTGGTGACTGGATGCTGGAGGGGAGGGGGAATAGCTGCTTCAGCTAATTGCTTAATTATTTATGAGCGCCTCAAGTCCTTTTTGTTGTTTTCGTTGCTAGGGGCTGTGGGGTCATCTTTTCCTCTTTCCTGCCACCCCAAGTCATCTGCCTTGCTTGACATGCTGTGGGAGAGCGCCTTGGCCTGGACCTCAAGCTACCCACGTTCTAATCCTGCCTTTGTCACTTTCTAGAGCTGTGGCCTCAGGTAAGTCACTTTGCCTCTCTGGGCCTCAGTTTCCTCATTTGCAGTCTGAGGTTTTCTGAGATGATATCCAAGTTTTCTTTTTATCCAAGAATTTTATCTTCTGCCCTCCAGTTGCAGAATGGAGAAGATGAGAGAGATGCCCTAATTTATTTTCATCTAAGAATGATTCTGAGGAACAATAAGAACAGTTAAAGTCTCTTACATATGTTGGCAGGAAGGCAATGAGAGTTGCCCCTTGTTCCCTCCTTGCCTCCTTTCTTAACCATGTTGCCCGATGTTTCATATTAACCTCAATGTCATTTAAGTTTTATTTATGCAACGTCAACTTCCCATGTCTGTTGGAAGGCTTTGCAATGTAAGATGTATATATGCAGTGTGACCATTAAAATAGAAATAAGAATAAATATAGAAATAGTGATGTTTCTTCATTGGTTAGTGTCTGAGTTGTGATTGAGCAACAGATGCAATTTGGAGCATCCTGGAAGCCAAAGCAAAAACAGAAGGAGGCATATAATTGCTTTTCAATAAAGAAAGATTTTCAATCTCTGTTACCACAAAAAATAGATTGTCCAACTGACTGTAATCTTAAATTCTGGAAACAATTTATCATGGAGTATATACTTCCTTTTACAAAAGCTATTTTTTTAAATAGTTCTTTCTTACTGTATTATTAAAGAAGAATCTAAATTTGACCATTTGACTACTTTCAGAGTGAACAGAAAGCAAAACTTCCTATCCACTAATTTTATGGAGAATTTTATGATAAATATTAGTAAAAATGAATTTTCATAATCAATAAATCAGTTATATATAAATTCATAAGCTACTTTATAGAGTAACTTGGCACCATATCTCAAATTTTTAAATGCAGCCAGCAATTTTTCTCCAAGTTTATTCTGAGATAATTGTGTACAGGTAAAGAAAGACATGAATACAGAAATGCTCTTGGTCATATTATTTACAGAAAAAGATGGCTAGAAATCACATGATAGTGAAGGATAGTGAATAAAATTATAATACTTCTTAACAATGACTTACTTTGTAGCCCTGAAGACGAAGTAGCTTTAAATGTTTTGATATGGTAGATCTTCAAAGATTAAACATTAAGAAAAATAAGGTACAGAATTTGATAGTGAATTATTTCTTTTATGTTATATAAAGTGTACATACAAATCTACATGCATGCTTGTATGTGTATACTTGGATTTTTCTGGAAGGAAGCTGTTAATAGTGTTTCTCTGGGCTGGAAGATTGGAAGTCTTGCAAGGGAGGGAGACGTTCTGTCATGGCTTATCTTTACTATCTGGAGCTGTTAGTTTTCCATGCGGAGACACAAGAGCCTGGCAGCTGAATGCAGTCTGAACTCTGAACACCTAGGCTCAAACCCCTATTCTACCACTTACTAGCTGTGTGGCCTTGAGGTTAACATCTCTGTTCCTCCTCCGAAGGACAGGTGAATCTAACTTCTTTAGTGTGTTGCAGTAAAGATTAGACAAATTAATAGCATAAAGTGCTCAGGACAACCTAAATGATACCATAAAATATTTTCTCAGTGAGAGAGAGAGGGAGAGGGAGAGGGAGAGGGAGAGGGAGAGAGAGAGAACAAGAACAAAAACAATACATCTACTCAAATGGACCCCCTCTCAGTTTTGAAAAGACTTCATAAGATACGCCACGACTTCCAACATCTTATGTTGAGTTCAAGTTGTTCGAAGCAGGAACTGTAAAGCACAAGTCTTGATGTAATTTGTCATTTTATCCCACTGTGTTTACTTTGGGAAGGACATCTCCCCTGGATTCATGACAGCTTTCACATCTGTGCAGCCCCTGGATCCAGTGTGGTCTGAGCTTTGCTTCTAGCCTGGCTCAGTGATTGGGCATGTGGTAGACACTCATATCCTCAGCTGGTAAAGGCCAAGGAGGGTTACCCAAAACTTCGATTTTAAAGAGGGTGTCCAAGACCACTGACCTCGATACGTTTGTCTGCATTCCTCATACCTCTGCTTTTCTATGTTTATTATATTGTTTTTATTTTAAAGAGAATTTTATAGAACAATAAAAATGATACAAAATTTCAAAACAAGATGATAGGATATTACCAATGTTATAATATATTGCATATTATTTTCAGAGTAGTTGCTGGGATTACCAGCTACAGGCATGTTTATGATTGCTCAAACAATATAAACACTGTTCCTTTAAATGAACTAATAGAAATTAATAGTACAATTATCTTAGCTATCTTGTGTATATATACATTTTTTTCTCCCTTCTTTTGTTTTTCCCTTTCCTCCATCCCAGTTATTCTTTTCTTTTGAGCAGCTTCTTTCCCTTTCACAATATCTATTGTACCTTTTGGATTTTATTTACTCTTTCAGTTCCTTACACTAGAGAAACAATATGTTTACAGGTGGGTCCTATGTATTTCACTTATGAATATGGTTTCCAGTTGTATCCATTTACCTATAAAAAGCCTCCAGTTTATCTTTATAGCTAAGTAGTACTCCATTTTATAAAAATACCACACCTTTTAAATCCATTCCTCAGTTGATGGGCATTTGGGGTGCTTCCAAGATGTGGCTGTGACAAATTGCTGTACTACAAAATGTATGCACATATATCATTGTGGTATTATGTTTCCAGTTCTTCTAGAAAAATACCTAGAAGGGGAATAGCTAGGTCAAATGGGACCTCTAATCTTAGTATTTTAGGAATCTCCACAATGATTTCCTCAGAGGTTTCACCATTCTGCACTCCCATCAACAGTGGAGAAGGGTTTCTTTTTCCCCACAGCCTTTCCAGCATTTATTATTGGTTGTCTTCTTGATGAAAGCCATTCTTTCTGGGATGAGTTGGAATCTCAGTGTTGTTTTAATTTGCATTTCTCAAATGACCAATGATGTTGAACATTTTCTTATAAATTTATTTGTCTTTTGTATTTCGTCCTCTGAGAAGTGTGTATTCATCCCAGATGAGTATTTTTGGATTAGGTCTTTGAATTTTGGGAATCTGATATTTAAAAAATTATTTATATGTTCTAGATAGGAGGGCTTTTTTCCTATGACCCACCGATACTTCTATGGTGTTGAGCCTAGTACAATGTTAGTGGTCTGTGCTCAGAGCTATCTGTTTTTCTCCTCCTTCGTTCCTGGGCTTTGGGGCAGGCCAGGAGAGCTCTGGCTGACTCTGAGACAGCAGAGGGGGCTCAGGTCCTTTCAGTCAGCCCAGCTAGGAAAGTGGCTGTGGGCATGGGGAAGGCCAGGCTGAGGAGCTGCGACCTTGTATCAGCGGTTCCTTCCCGTCCCACCGTCTGCGTGGCCGGCCTCTGGGACACTGGCCCGTCTCTATCCATTTGGCCATTGGTTCCTCACCACCTATCTGTCGCATCCAACTGCGCTTCCATCTGCCCTCCCAGCCCTCCAGCCCTCCTCCAACCATCTGCCAGCCTTCGCACGCGTGCTTCTTGCTGCCGGTCGGTCCACCCATCCCTTCTTCCTCCGCGCGTGGCACTCTGAGCTCCGGGCCGCAGAGCCAACCCCGAGTGACTCTGTCCCTCTCGTCCCAGGCCGCCGGCCCCCGCCCCTCGCTGCGTCACCTCCCGGACCCAGAGGACCCCCGCTGTGCCCCGGAGTCCCCTCGCTGGAGGCCTCCGGGCGCTGCGCTGCCCTCTTGCGCCCCGCGTGGGGTGGGGCGGGGCGGGGCGGGGCGGGGTGACTCAGCCGCGCTCCCCGCGGTCCGCACGTCCGCCGGCCTCGCAGGCGGGGCGGAGAACATGGCGCTGCCCCCGGCCGCCGCGCCCCCCGCCAGGGCCCGGGAGCCTCCGGGACCCCGCGTCGCCGCCGCCGCCTCCGAGGCGCCGCTGGGCTTGCAGCAGGCGCGAGCGCTGCGCCCCGAGCCGGGCGGGGTCCCGCTGCACTCGCCCTGGACCTTCTGGCTCGACAGGTGAGGGCCAGCCCGGCCTGCGCGCCGCGCTTTGTCTCGGAGCCGCCGGCCCGACCCGACCCGACCCGGCCCGGCCCGGCCCGGAGCTCTGGCGCAGGACCTCGTGCGCTCGGGCTCGCGGTCGGCGGCCGCCCGGCTTGGGCCGCGCCGAGAGGCTCCGTGGCGACCTCGTCTCCGGGCGGGGAGCGCAGAGCGCAGCCCCAAAAGTTTCAGCAGCGCCGCTTTCCCCGCCTCCCTCGGCTCGGGCGCCCGGTGCGCCCCGGGGAGGACCCCGCGAGTCGGCCTCGCGGTGGAGGCTGCAGCCCTGCGTCCGCACCGGCTCTCGGGTGGCTCCGGACGCACGGGGCGTGACAGCAGTCGGGAAAGCGGACGGGCCTCCGGGAGGCCTGGGTGGGGCGCTGGGACTCCGCGCCGGAGAAGCCGCCGGCACCTCTGCACCTCCCCGTCACCCCGAGGCGGCTGTTTATCTGACGGGGAGCCACCGCCAGCTGAGCGCCCGGGTTCTGTGGGAGCAGCCGCTCACGCTGCGGGCCTGTCGTGGCTTTCTCAGGGGACACTCCGTACCTTCTCCTCAGAGGCCTCCGAGGCTGCAGAAACTCGCCATCGTTCGGAGTTCCTCCGTCCTGCTTGCGTTGTCTTCCAAACGCGTAGTCTCTGAATATGAGCTTATTTACAAACTTTTACTCCGGCCTCCAGCAGAGGATCACGGGCTAGCCATTTGCTCAACCCCAGTGTGCTGGACACACAGTAGGAGCGCAAGAAATTTTAACAGTTGCATAGGTGATGCACAGCTCCTTCTTTAGTATCTGTTCTAGGTGCCCAGGGATGACACTTCATGGTGGTCCCCAAAAGTTTATGGAACTTTTAGTCAGAGTTGTCTCCCATGGTTAAGTTTTAGGAAATGTAGGTGACAATTTTCTGCAAAATTTACTGAGTGACCACAATCGAGGTTTTAGAAAGCCTTGAAAGATGAAATGCCTGCAAGATTTTTTTTAAAGTGAGACAAGCTCAATCATCTTCTTGTGGAAACTAGCACTAGAGGAAGTGACACCTGGAGACACCTTGTTTTCCAGGGACTCGGAGAGGTGGGGGTAGGGTAGACCAGTAGATTTCCTTTTCAAAGCATTTTCTCTTTCGTTATGTAATTCTAAGACAGTTTGTTAACAAAACTTGTGTCTGTTTTCAGAGACTGTGCTGGTGTTACCTGGTATCTGTTTCCAGGGTATTCAGTCTGGGTCTGTGGTCCGATTTGTGGATATAGTTGGCTGGTGGAAACTATCAGAATTTTTTATCTTGTCAAAATTTAGTCAACATATGATTTACGTTTAAGGGATGAGTTAACACTTTTAAAGATACCTTAAAATGTGCAATTCAGTGAAGATATAAACTATTATCTTCCTTACTATTAACTTTTTTTTTCTTTGAAGGTCTATAACCAAGTGAAATGTTAATTCCACAGTGCCTAATCTTTAACAGAAATGCCTGTATCCATTTGAAATTTATAATTTCAGTATCATGCATGTGAATTCATGTTTTCTGGTGAGGCATCTACTGGTTATTGAACAGCTTTCACTTCTTTTTTTTGTGTGTGTGTGGAACCAGGGATTGAATTCAGGTCATTGCACCTGCCAGGGAAGCGCTTACTCCACTGAGCCATCTCCCCGGCCAAAGGGGGGGGGGCGTGAACCAGCGACCTTGTGCTCTAGAGCCCAGCGGGGGAACCACTGCGCTAGGTCACCGCCCTCAGCTTTCACTTCTGTGGGACTTGTACACACTCTACCGCCTGCTCAGGGATATGAGCAGACTGCGGAATTCCTGTGGGAAGAGAGTCTCAAGGAACAGGGCTTCCGTGGTAAAGGCCCATGCTTGGGATGCTGAGGCAGCTTGTGTGAATAGCTACTTATGCTGCTAAGTTGAGTAAGAAACACCTAATGTCCGTTTTTCTGCAGGCCCTGGACAGCAGAGTTCTGGTTTGTCTGGATGACTGATTTACTAGAGGGGGGAGGGCCACCCTGGGTGTGTAGCACCAACCCACACGCTTTTAGCCAGGATGACACCACCTCCAGGCTTCCAGCACAGACCCTTAAGCTTCCCCACTGGAACTCAGTGGGTGAGCTCCTGGGCCCCTTCATCTGGATTCTTGGGCTCTCCGTGTTTCTACAGCCCTTTCACACTCTTCCACACCTGACTGTTCAGCCACTGTAAGCCTACCTTATAAGTCCTTTATGTAAATGTATACCTATATACATACTACTAAATCTATTCTGAAGTCTTTACATATATCGTATATATATACACTATTCATAAATCCTTTTTATATCATGCATATATCAAATCTGTTTCTCTAGTGCACATGGACATTAGGTGTTTCTTACTCAACTTAGCAGCATAAGTAGCTATTCACACAAGCCACCCCTTGAGCAGAAGATGCAGTGCTCAGAGCAGCCAGAAGACTGTGTCCTTCCAGCGCCTGCCCAGTCCTCCTTACTCCGCATCACTGCCTCCTGCCCTGGCCCTTCAGTTCATTGGCCTGTGCTCAGCATCCCAAGCATGGGCCTTTACCATGGAAGCCCTGTTCCTTGGGACTCTCTTCCCACAGGTATTCTGCAGTCTGTTCTTTTCTGTGCTGTGAGTGTCATCTCAGACAGCACCCCCTGCCACTGACAGAGTGGCATGTCATACCTCACGAAGAGTTCAGAGAGGTGCTGAGTCCTACAGGGACCCTGTGGGGTATGATGGCCCACAATAATGAATCTGACACCTGGAGTGGGGCCAGGCTTGACAGAGGAGACCACCAACTCATCTTTGTTCGTAGCATTATCTGTAGGAACAAGATCAGGAAAGAAGGTGTGTGGAAGAGCCACAGGTGGCAGAGTGCAAGGGTATTATCACTTTGCCTATTTTCCCCCATTCATTCATTCTTTCTTTCATTTTTTTTCTGAGCCAGGGTCTCACTATGTAGTCCAAGCTGGCCTTGAACCCACTATGTAGCCTAGGCTGGCCTCAAGCTAGAGGTAATCTCCCTATCTCAGCCTCCCAAATACTATAATTGCAGCATGCGCCACAAAGCCTGGTGCTTTCTCTCCATCCTTGCCCTTTGTTCCCACAGAATCTATAAATAGCCAAGGTTCTCACTTTTTGTGAAAAGGTTCTGGATAGAGCTATCTGACGGGAAAGGGTTTTTCTCTAGGAAACTCACAGTCTTTCCAAGTATGAGTCAGTAGTTGCTTCTTGAGAACAGCCCAAGGCCTTCACTCGCAAAGTTACTGATTCTTGGCTGGTACTTGCTGGTCTCAAAAAAAATTTTTTTTCTACTTTTAATATTATACATGCCATTTATATAAACCTACTTATATAAACCTAAGGTAGCAAGCAAGACAAATCTGGCCTGAGGACACTTCAACAGTTGGCCTTTTTTAGTTGTGTTTGCTAACTTTGACACTGTTTTACTTCTCTTCTCCCACCTTGAGTGTCCTGAAGGGTGAACTGTATCAAGATGAGAAGAGCCTCAGCTGCAAACCTTTAGAGGTGCGGCAAGAGTAGACAGCTGGCTACAGTACATGCGGCTTAGGCTCGCCACTACTGCCCTCGGCGGAAGCAGGGAAAAATCAGTATCAAATAAACATTCTGAACTTAAGCATTCAGATTTTGTGGATACTTTCAATAGATACATCGTTATCTAGTAGTAATAGGATTAGATGGTTTTTGTAGGAGACTCCCACACAGGAAGCTGGTGTAGCCACAAGCCACAGATCTATCTCAAAGTGATTAAAATGAAATCTTTAGTGGAATGGTGATGTGTGAGTGGCATAGTTAATCAGGTAACTGGGCCTGGGCAGGTTTCACCCTGACAGCTTCTGATGCTGAGGTAAATTCCACAGCAGACTGGCTTTTAGGAGTCCTGTCCCTGACTTAAGGTCTTCCCCCTCCAGATTGGTTTCTTTGCCTAAAGTGAAATCATCTCCCAAAAGTAGAATAAAAACAAAATTGTCATCATTCACTCTTCACTGAGTATTATTATGCATGAGTATTAAGCATGTGTGTCTAGTAACAGAATATACTATCTAAAGTTTAAATGTTTTTCTACTTTAAATTGTCAATAGAAGCCTGACAAGGTAGTACACACCTATAATTGCAACACTTGGGAGACTGAAGTAGGAAGACGGTATTAGTTTACAGCCAGCCTGAACTGCATAGCAAGATCCTGTTTCAAAAAGGGGAAAAAAATTGTTAATATGAATACGCTTCTGTGTATTAAGTACTGGACTAAGAGCTATATAAAATTATCCACAAAACCCTCACACTATTAAAGTAGGCCATATTAGCAACAGTTTACATGTGAGAAAATTGAGGCCTATAGAAACATCTTGCCAGAATCCACACAGCAGTAGGAACAGAAATGGGGTTTGCATTAAGGACTGTGTAACCCCAAGTACTGGCATCCCCACACCTTGAAGACTGCATCCCTGTGACTAGGAAAATGCATGGGGTATAATTCTCCTACATTTTAATTCCCAAAGTATAGGTACTGGAAAGGAATTAAGAGGGGCCAGTTGTGGCAGGGCACGCCCGTAATTCCAGCCCTGGGGCTAAGGCAGGAGCTTAAGGCAGAGTTCAAGGCTGCCATCAGCTAGAGTAGTAAGACCCTATGTCAGAACCGTGAAAGAAAAGGTAACCTGGGCCTGCCACTGAACTTCACAGATGAAGAACCCCAGGGACTGTTTTATAGGAGAAAAATAAGCCAAAGAGTCCCTGTGTCAGAATTAGCAGAGAAAAGAAGGGGTCTTTGCCTAAAAACCTGTATTAAGTCCCAGTGTGGACTCGTCCTTCACATGTAATGATAACACCCTTAGGATCGTGTCTTCGTGCATGTGGCTATGATCCTTCCGCTCATTAGATTTCATTTTTCACGTCGGTTTACATTTCTTGTGGGGATTTGAATTAGGTGACATGCCAGGATTTGGCAGGTCTCCTGTGGGCCCTGAAGGCTCTGCACCTCTATCAACTCCCAGGACACACAGGGTTCAGGAAACTTTGCCAGTGTGTTTGTTTTGCCAGGAGCATCTCCCAGCATCTTTATTTACTTATTTATTTGTTTGTTGGTTTCTGTGGCTGGTGACCAGGGCCACGGCCTGCTAAGTTCTCGTCAGGAAATGGTCAAGAGAGTTTCTTAGGCACTTACCAAGGCCTGACTCCATGGACTTTCTTAGTGAGCTCAGGCCACAACATGGCATCTTTAAAGGTGGGGCTTAATATAGAGGGTGGATTTAGAAAATCTGACGTGGGGATTGCAAGGTTCAGGACAGGGGGTCCGTGTTGGGTGCTCATGGTACCAAGCAGAGTGGTGCTTGTGTTGAAAGTGTTTGATTTAACTTTGTTACTAAGAAAAAGATTGTCAGCTCTGCTGTTGGCCGACTGCATCTTTGGATAAGCGACTGTATTATAGTTTCTTTATCTGCAAAGAAGTGGTGAGATGAGCTAATACGCGCACATATAATAGGACATGTAGTCTTTGCCTCTCAGTATTTCCTAAATAAGAAAGGGGTAAAATACTTTTAAGCACTTCAGGCTTAAATTAGCTAGGAGTTTAACCCAGTGAAGCTTCCCTGGGGCCTACTTTAATGAGTAAGTAACATGATTTGCAATAGTGTATTCAGTTCTGGGTAAATGGTGCTTATATGACTGAAAAACATTTAAATAGAATAGCTGGACCAACTTTTGTGGATTTCCTGTCTTTTCCTAACTTCCAATGAAAAGAGATTTTCACCAGTTTTATAAGGAGGATTTTAAGATGCATTCTGTATTCTTCTGTTAAGTTGGAGACAAAGGATTAATGTAAGACTGGAGCGGGAGGTTTGGTCTAAGTAGCACACACACTTCCCTAACACTTTACATTAATCATCTGTTTGGCATACGCTGGGTCCCTTCCCACTTCTGCTTTAACTGGTATAGTTTCCAAATTGGCCAAACCCAAGTGGAAATAGCCTTCACTGACGCTGTGGCTGTAGACCTAACACTGGTGCCTGGTGGGTGTTCATTTCTAAGGGTGGATATAGAGGTGCTAAGCTCTCAGTGTGACTCTTGACTCTCCTGCAGATTAATGAAGCTCCTTGGTATTTCTTGTAATGCTCTTGGCTTCTCATCTGTATCCTCTTCTTCTGTTCATCTCATTGATGCTAGTGACGTCAGCAGCATTTACCTACTAGATGCAATTAGACGCACTGTGCAAATAAATGTCTTATATGGTAGCACAGTAATGGGAAAAGATCTTGAGCTTTGTTTATAAAGAAGCAAGTGTCAAAAAAGGTCAAACTTGATGCACAGCTTGTAGGTGGTAGAGCTGGACGCGAACTGAAGAACTGAGTTTTGTTGATTCCAGAGACCAACCTCTGAATCTCTGTGTTTTCTGCCTCCTTGCTTGGGCCCCTCTGTGGCCTTTGTTTGGTGCAATATCTTTCTGCATCTCTGCTTCTACCCTCCTCAAGGATGTGGCTGGATGTGTGGTGAAAGAGGGAACAATGCCAGGCAGGAAGGGTGGGTGGATCCAAGGAAAGTGTAGGTAGTCTGTAAGAGGGAGGGAAGAGTTTGTCCTAAGGCCTGCTGTATGTGACCACTCTTGCCTTTCCCTGGAGTCAGTCTACTGTACAAGGGAGGTTACAGGTGTCAGAACCAGACAGATGAAAAAGAACTCATGTCTATTACTTAAAACTAAGCTCACTAAGCCTCAGTTTCCTAACTTGTGAAATGGAGCTAATGATGTCAACTTGGCAGGCTTCTCATAAGGATCAGCAAGGATGCTTGCTCAGTGATAAGAAGCCACAATTTTCCTAACTCTCCAAGCCTTCTTTCCACCTCGTATCTTCCAGGCAAGTAGAGAAGGTCTAGGCATTGGTTTTTTTGTTTTGTCTTGTCAGCACTGAACATTAGGTCCAGTAGAAACTGACTTGTTTATGAGGGAGATCATTTGCAAATCCTAGCTTGTTTGGCCTTTTAAAATGTATTCTTGATTTTGCTCAATTTCACTTGTGAAAGAAACTTGAGGTTGGGGTTTGGGCATGAGGGTTAGGCCTGCTGATATTTTCTAGGCACAGAACACCATGCCTTAGCCTGAACAGATGGGCCAAAGTAATCTGACAACAACCAACAGCTAGAAAGAACCTTTACAATCATAAATGCCAACATGCTCCATGAAAAAATCAGAGTATGCCTGAAATTCTAGCACTATGGGATGCTGAGGCAGGAGGACCAAGCGCAGCCTGGGAGACTTAGCAAGACCCCATCTCAATAGAAAAATAAAAATAAATTTAAAAAACATTAAACGGATGGGAATGTAGTTCAGTGTGAAGGCTCTGACTATACTCTCCAGTACAACAAACAAGAAAATGCATCTGGATCATAAGGTGTTAACAGATTAAAGACAGAGCTATTCTTAGACATGATCCTAGCAGTTATTTTGTGAAGAACTTTCCTACTTGCTCCACCTAGAAAGACTAATTAGAAAATCTATATGGCTGCATATTGATGTTAAAAATGACATTCAACAAGGGCTGGCCAAATAGCTCAGCAGATTAAAGCGCTTGCAAGCAGGCACAGTGTCCAGGGGTTCGATCCCGCGGCCTGCTGTGCCGGCCCTGCCCCCGGGATGCACAGAGACTGCAATTGAGACTGGGCATGGTGATGTGCACCTGTAATCCCAGCTCTTGGGAGACTGTAAACAGGCAGATCACTACAAGTCTGATCTAGTATTGAGACCCTAAACACCCTGTAGACCCTTCCCAAAAATCCAAAAAAAAAAAAAAAAAAAGGAGAGAGAGATTCAATAAAGATAGTGCTCTTGATGATCTGTAGTTACAGGAATGGAGTTTGTAGAGCCCTATCGTGCTCATTTCACCCAGGTGTTCTCATTGCTCTGGTCTCTACTGCTGAGCTGCTGTGTGTTTTGCACACATCTCCTGTGTGCAGTGGTTTAAGAGCGTTCAAGAAAGTACATGTGGAGCTTTCAAGAAAGTACATGTGCTTCCAGGTATTGATGGTTGGGAAATAGCAGAGGTGTGTGCTCCTTTCTAGGTCCTGGTCAGCTGTGAGCATGGTGCTTTCTCCTGGCAGCAGTCCTCTTGATTTCTCAGCACAGCCAGGCCTGGGCTGTGGAGCATTGTGTGGTGAAATGTCATAGACTTGACAAACAGGACCTCGACTAGAGCACAAACTGCTGACGTAGTAATAGGGAGTAGGGAATGGTGCCAGCAGTTGAGAGTCTTAACACCTAAAAATCAATGAGATTGGATTATTTGATCCACAATCCCAGGACTGGTGCTTGGTAAAACCAGCTAAACTGCAGAGGATTTTGTGGTGAATAACTCTGTACTATGTTGCCATCTAGTGGAGCAAAGAGCAAATGTTAGAGTAATATATTCTACTCTACAGTTCTCCAGAGCCATTTCAAGGAGCAGGAGAAGGTAACTGGAAGATTTTCTAAAGGCAATTGTTTGGGAAACAGATTCAAATTCAGTAAAACCCAAGTTGATATTTTAATGATATTTCTTGAAGGGAAGAGCTGCTCTGTTCCTCAAGAGTACGGATATGGACCGCAAGACGGCTGACAAATTTTAAAACACATCCCCGTAGTAGGACACTGGGTTTTCATTATTACTGGTGCAATTTCTCACCTAAAGTCCTCTATGTAAAATTTTTGACTATTATTGTGGTACTTTAATGTTTTCCAAAATGTTGTGTTAAGGTCTTCAATATCTTTCTTTTCCATTTCTTCTATTACATTTCCAGAGTACATGAGTTAATTTTTAGGAGAAGCAAACACAAGACTTCACCCAGAAGAAGGTTCATATTTAAAGTCCAGCTAGCATGCCTTACATGTCCAATTTTGGTTTTTACTAAGATTTACAAGGTCGTATTGTTCAATAGCTTATGACCACTGAACGCTTCTGTTTGCATTTTGTCCTCTTGTGGCTGTTTCCTTAGGTCGCTTCCTGGTGCCACGGCAGCTGAGTGTGCCTCAAACCTGAAGAAAATCTACACAGTGCAAACAGTGCAGGTAAGATCCGGCATTGAGCATGGTGGGGGCGTGGCTCACACCAGCCACTTGGTTGTCCACTTTGAGGACCCGTAGCCTTGCCAGGGGTTCAGCTCTGGATCTGGTTCTGGTCCATTTTGGGGCAGCTATCCTTGGCCACATGCAAGGGCAGGTGGGCTGCTACTTTTGCAACCTGCTAGAACTTTCTTAGCTAAGCTTTCTACAGCTCCACACGAGAAGCAGGCTGTGACTAAGAGTGAATGTTGTGAAGACATCCACATGTGTGCCTGTTCGACCCCAGCTCTGCCACCCACTTCTGTACCTCTTTTCCCATCTGTGCCAGCGCCTGCCAGGCTGCTGATGGCTGAGGGGACACACTGGGAGGACACAAAGATGCTTTACTTTCTAGGACCACTACTGTAGATACTTGTTCACCTTTGTAATATCTGTGTAATCGGTATAATAGTGGCACAAGCCTCTGCGGTTACTGCAAGGATTAGTGATGCAGTGTTTCCACTGTGCGTGGTGGAACACCGGACAGGCAGCTGGTGTTCAGTGCGTGTGTTTTTGGTTATGCAGGTTCTTTCTTTATCCAACTATGAAGATGAGTATTTTCAAAAATACTGATTTATTTGTATGATCCCATTTGTAGTTTCCCCACAGGCGGATCCCAGCAGGTTTCTCTTCTGGCATCACATGCTTCTGCAGATATAATGAGGCTTTTGACAAGCACAGCTTCAGAGCTGCTCTTCCCTCACCTCCTTCTGGATTTCCAAGAAGGCACAGATCATAAGTAATTTTCCTCTGTGCTACTAAATCTTGGAATGTCTTAGAAAGTCCAGTATATTAGCATCTGGATTATGTCCATTAGGCAGGCTCTTCCTTGTGGAAATGGCACAGATTGCTTTGTCAAATCCTTTTGCCAACATATGGTTTTAAAAATTGTATTTTGGGGGGCCAGCCAAATAGCTCAGAGGACTAAAGTGCCTGCAAGCAGGTGCAGGGGCCAGGAGTTCGGTCCCCAGGTCTTCCATGCCGGCCCTGCTGCTGGGGCGCGCTGAGGTGGCAATTGAGACTGGGTGTGGTGGTGTGTGCCTGTAATCCCAGCACTTGGGAGGCTGTAAACAGGCAGATCACTACGAGTCTGATCTACACAGTAAGACCCTGTACACCCCGTACACCCTGTCACAAAATACAAAAATAATAATAATAAAAGTTGTATTTTTGTAACTGCACAACCCCGGGGATCTGTTCACAGGATGCTGTGCATGGCTACCAAGGGTGTAAAGACACTTCTCCGTCACAAGCCGTTTCTTATTTACTTGGGAAAATTACATGAGAATGTGGAAAAAACAACTCCTCTGCAAAGAATCATTCAGTGCCAAATGTAGGCAGCATCACAAGGCAGCAGGTGGACTGGTGTCCAGAGCACTCAGTTCCCTCACAGTCTGGGAAAGGCTTCCTCGTCTGTCCTTCTCCATGAATTTACAGACTTGTTCCCTCTTCCCAGCAACTGTTTTATGAAACTAAAAGACCTTATTTTTAGGTCTCTCCTCAAGTGGAATCTGTTTGATCCTGTTGGTCATTTAGAGAGTCACTGGGCTTTTTTCCACTCTGTTGTGACAATTAGGTCCCAAGAGCAGGGTGTGAGATCCAGGACAGACATCAGAAAAGTCAGATAATGTACTGGCTCCTTTTTCATGATAACACAGACCATTTGGTTGGGGATTGGATCCTGCAGTGTATTAAGTTCTTCAGGGAATAATTTAAATTCCCCAGGCTAGCATGTGTAAGAAATGCTTTCTTTAAAACTGAACTTTAAGGGCAGGGTGTAGCCCAGAGATGGAGCCCTTACCTCACCCAGGCACACACAAACAAAAATACGAAACCAAAACTACACTTCATTGGGATGTAATTTGTGTACACAATAGACCTGTATTTCTTAAGTGCAAATCTTGACAAAGGAATATATACTTGTAACTGTCACCTAGACCAAGATTAGAAACACGCCAGCAGCTTTCTGTGTGCCCATGTCCTATCAGGTCCTGTCCTCCAGGTGTAGCCGCTGCTCTGATTCCTACAGTATATGCTCCTTTCGTCTTGTATTGAACTTCAGATAATGGAATCACATCAGATTGTATTCTTTTATGCCAGTTCTCTTTCACCCAGTACATGTTGAAGGACTGGATGCATGAGAAATAAAGGAAACACTTTTCCTGGATCAGAGCAGATTGTCCACATAAAGATTTACTCACCTATGGGCTGTGCGTTTTCAGTGGGGACAAAATTTGTAGAAAGCACAGACATATATGTAGTCTATAGAGAATTACACACTCCTGTGGTTGTAAAATTTCTCAGTGGTGATTACTCAAAAGAAGGCTCCTTTAGGTCAGCTTCAGGGGTTGGGTGACAGGAAAGCAGGCTGAGAAACACTGCTGTGAGTGGCCAGGAAGTTGCTCCAGCTTCCTCATCTGTGAAGCTGAGATGATAATCATGCAGACTTTATAAGGCTGGGTGAGGACTACCTGAGATGACGCAGGAGTGCTTGGAGCTCCGCAAGCCCTCAGGGGCTGCTACTGGGACCTCCGCCTTTGCTCCAGCAGGGCATGGGACTGTGTGTCTAGTGGTCACGCTGCCCACATTCACATGGCCCTTAGTAGCTCCTACAAGTTATTTAACCTGTGTCTCAGCTCACTGCTCTATAAAATGGGCATAATTATAACAGAGATTTGTATTATGCTGTTGTGAGAGTGAACTAGGATGGTGAAGTAAAAAAAACACAGTAAACCCCAGTAATAAGAATGTCTCATCTGCCACCATTCTTCTCTTTCTATTGAGGCATCTTTTCATGCTTTCCTCAGTCATGTTTTACATAGGGAAACTATATACCCCTGCTTCTAGGTTATTTATTTCTATTAATTTCAAGAATTATGAAGGGCTGGCCAGGTAGCTCAGTGGACTAAAGCGCCTGCTTAGGCAGAGCACAGTGGCTGGGGTTCAACCCCAGCAGGCCATGATGGCCTGCCCCCCGGGGCGCACTGAGAAAGCAACTGAGCCTGGGCGTGGTGGTGCACGCCTATCATCCCAGTGCTCGGGAGACTGAAAACAGGAGAGTCACTATGAGTCCAATCTGTGTAGTGAGACCCTGTAGACCCTGTAGCAAATACATTTTTAAAAAAATTCAAGAATTATGCCCTGCACTACACCACTACTCATACCTCTATTTTTTAAAACGTCTTTAACTTATTCCTAACTGTTGGGAGTTTGGCCTGTGAGTGTCTTTAGTATCCCTGGAATGGTCTTTAGTCCTCAAGAACTAGCTACAGTGCTTACTTAGCAGTCTGAGCACACCTTGTCCCAGCTGCCTTTTTATTCTGTGCTTGTATGTTGATGCTCTGTCACTGTCCACCCTGAAAAACCTATCTCCCTATTCGTGTTTCCGTTTTCCCCATGTGGGGTCAGGTGAAATGTAAGAATCATGGGTTATTAACAAGGCCCTTCTGCAAGTTCCAGTCATGCGGGTGGGGGAGGGACCGTTGTTCCTGTGTGTTAGCTGGGAGCTGATGCTGGGGGAACTGGCTAGCTCCTTGTGCCTCCAGAGCTGGAGCTCCCTCCCGGGAGTGCAGGGGGCCAGGCCTCCAGGCCACCTGCGTAACCCCTGCCGAGGGCACACACTGCAGCCAGCAGGAGTCCTAACGGTCTGAAAATAGAGTTATTTCCTGCTTTCACCTCTTTCTTAGGGCTGGGGAGGTAGCTCAGAGGCATAAGCACATCTTTCTTGGAAATTTCTTTTTCACTTAGGTGTGTTTTCCAGATAAGCTTATTGATCTTTTCTGATCTTTTGAATGTGTACACAGTACACATTTTCCTGGTGTCAGTGTCTCCTCCAGGGGTGCAGCGCAGATGGGAACATGATGGCTACACACGCTCAGGCATGGCTGAGGGAGAGTGTGGGGCTGCCTGTGGATAGGATTTGCTTGAGAGGGTCCTTTGTTCCCAGACCCTTTCTGTGTTGCCTGCCACAAGACTCAAAATTTCACCCTTAAAATTGTATTCCTACGTAGCATTCTGCCTCAACCCTCAGCAATTTCTCTTACCAATTTCAAGATTTGCCATACTTGTCCCACTTATACTGTGTTCCACCAGATATAGCCTGTAAATTGATGTTTCACTTAAATTTACACAGTAGACACTTCATATTTTTTCTAAATAGAATTTCAGTATTCATCATAGCCAGAAAGTCTTCATAAATAGTATATATAACCCATTAAAATGAAGAGAGTAAAGTCACCCTGGGTACCACAAAGAAGGCCAAGACTTCTGCTGCCAGCAGGTTAGCCTGCCAGGTTATGGAGTTACACTGTTATGGGTCATTAAGTTAGGGTAGCAGATTGATTCTCAGACTCTTGAGGAATGAGGCTCATGCCTCGAGAAGCAGGGATTTATAGGTCAGTGTTGATAACAGAGGATGATGGGAAGATTGATTTAATGTGCTGCCTTACTTGGACACAGCAGGACAGCCTGTGACAGTGGGCACTGGACCTAGAGGGGACCTCTGGAGTAAAGAGAGGGACGTAAGGGAAAAGACACTGGCCCTGAAGAGAGAGAGGCAACATTGTAAGAGGGAGAAAGAGAGACAGACCTGCAGCCAGTTCTGTCGCATAGCTCGGTCGAGTGCAAACTTACTATCCAGTGTAATAGGCTTCTTTATCCATGCTTAATTTATTCATTGTATGTATAATGGGATTAGTATCTATGATCCTAAAGCAGTTATGCAGAAAGAGAAGTGACGTCAGGTTGCCTGCATTCCTGCAGCTTTGCTCACTGCAGCGGAGACTGTTGTGTGTATTGAGATGAAGGGTGCTTAGTCTTGTAGCCTTTAAGTAACTTAGTTACTTCAGATGTAAAACTTCACAGTTTCAAAGGTAAGTCTCTCTGTGGCAGAGTGTTCACCCTCTTGCTTCCCCACATGAACTGGCAGATGCATTGATGCGCCTGATCCCACATGACAGCTGCCCTCGTACTGGCCACCTGATGCATTCTTGCTGTGGCCTCAGTGTTGAAGGTCTCTGCTGTGTGCACCCCGATGCAGACTCCAGGCCTGTCTAGTAATTTCGTGGTGCAGGCTGAGATATCGGAAGCATTGCTGTGTTCCCCATGCCCCACCAGAGTGAGAGGAACTGCAAGCCTACAGCAGCCCTCCAGGCCTGAAAATACAATCCACCTCCCCAGCCCTTCCCTGACCTGCCTCCTGGCCCACACTGAAGGAAGGAACCGCAGGAGTCCTGGGGCCACGTGGGCTGACCCCAGCGGGAAGCACACTGCTCTGCTCTTGGTTCCCCAATTGGGGAACACCTGTCTTCTGCCCTCTCAAGTTGGAATCTCACTTTCCTCTCCAAACTTAGCTCCCCATCTCAGAGTGACTCGTACTCTTGGAACTCAAACCCAACCCAATTTTTTCTGAACTCCCTAGCTTTTGCACACCAGAAGCTCTTTGCTTCCAGTCTTTGCATCTGTTGTGAGTTAAAAACATCCATTAAACCTTTTCAGTGCCCCTCTCTGTTCTGGTGTCTATCTGTCCTCCAGGAACATGATTGGTTCAGCCCAAGGAAACCCCTAGCAAGTGGAAATACCTAATGAGCATACACATTCATTCAGGATTCTGCAGGTAGCCTCCTCTAGGCATGCTGCAACTGTTGGAAGAAAATGTGGACTTCTTTTTCTTCTTTAGAACATTCTAGTGGGAAATTGAGGAGGGCCACTAATTTTCCTAATAGTAAATGATTATCTGTTTGGCAAAAGATTATCAGATGGGACATGATTACTCTAGTCTGAGCTAGAAAATTCAGAGTGTATCGAGTGGTCACCACATTTAATGAATGTGACCACACTCTGCATGCTGTCTTAGGCCTCCCACATTCTTGCACTTGGAGCCATTGAATCATGCCATGAAGTACCATTGTGGTACTGCTTGTACAGTGGAGGCAAATGAGCTTTAAGAGCTTTGTGGCCAGTGAGTATTGTCCTAAAATTCCACTGGGAAGGCATCTGGATGCTCACTTAGAGCACCAGAATGATATTGGAGAACTTACAGCCAGCAAGCGAACCCGGGGGTCAAGGGCCATCACTCGCCTGGTCAGGCAGTTCCCCAAGGACGACTACAGTGCACACAGCTGACCAAGTGAGGTGTCCACCAACACTGACCAAGTGACTGATGCCCAATTTTTATACTTATTGTACTTGGGTGGTCATTAAGGCATTGAAGACAGGAGTTGGGCACCATTCATAAACATTGTACCTAGTTTGGAATAGGGAGATAAACCCACTTATAGCCTTGTGCTGTGAGTAGGACCCTCTCAGTAGTGTCACCAGATGCTTTGCTCCCATTTGTTGCCACACAAATGTACAAATAGATGTTTTAATAAATATGCTATCGGAGTCAGATCTTTTACTGTCTCTGATTGGGCTTCAGTCTCTTCCAATCAGATTTGCCCAGGTAAACAGCATCAGTTATCTATATTTGAATTTGTTTTCAAGTGAAGTTTCCATGGTTGTATATAGTCCTTAGAAGGGATTGTAGGGTTGTCCTGAACTTTGCAATGAGAGAAGGATTTATTGTAACATTCTGAAGGGAATTGAAACAGGAGGCAAAGAGGGCAGTTTTGCTTTGGGATTCGTTTAGATTCAAAATTTGCCAGCACAAAGTCCTCTTGGATTTCTTTCAGGCAGAGCTTTTCATTTAGTGGCATTTTTATCCTTACGTTCAGCAAAGTCATTGCCACATTGGTGTCAGGCTACAGTGAAGATGGTCACCAGACTCCATGCATTTAAGGGCATTAACTGGAAGGAAGACATCTTCAGCAGCTATCCAGGCCTTCCTAAATTAAAGTGGGTACTCCCCACACATAAAGCACTGTCATGATAGGAAACAGCTGAGTGGTTAAGAAAATAGGGGCCTTAGAATCAGAGTGCCGGGTTCAAATCCCAGCTCTACCCATTCACTCTCGCCACGGGTGGAACCTGAAATACTGGACCTATTTTCTTATTTGCACTAGCAGCGTAGCATTGATTGAATAGGCGCCTGCGTAAGGATGGGCATCAGGGGATCCGTGCCATGACCAGGCGTCTTGCAGCTGCTCCTGTGTTGGCGCCATTGTAGTGGAAGGATTAGGCTGAGTTCTCAGTTATAGATCTACCACCATGGGCTTCTTTTTCCCTTCAATTTTCTTTCCACCCATTTTCACCACCTTTCCAATTTGTTCAGTTTTATTGTATTTTTACACAAAACAGGCTTGAACAACCCATAAGGATTGTCATTGAGCCTAGAGGAAATTCCATTCTGCCTTTGCCACTCCGTGCAGGAGGACCAAGGATTCGCTTCCATAATTGTTCGGTGCCTTGCACTGCCTCATCAGACCTCCTAGAAGACCCCCTTCACCACCCAGAATGGCATTTCTCATTTTCACGTAATTCTGTGCCTAGAACCCCAACTGTAGTACTTCCATGGCCTCATCCCAATGAACTGAAGAGCGTTTTCTTCTTCACAGCCTCAGTCTTGTCCTAATCCCAGCGGCTGTACTCTGTAGTGATTTGGGGTAAGGCAGTCTAGATGTCCATTTCCTTATCTCTGAAATGAAGCAGTAACTCTCTCTCACAAGGTTGTCATTAGAATAAATTGCATAAGGGGCTGGTGAGATGGCTCAGTGGTCTAAAGCACCTACTTAGAACAAGCTTAGCAAAGCAAGAGACTGCGGTTCAATCCCCCAGCACCACATGCCAGCCAGCCCCGCCCCCTGGTGGGCTGAGCTGGCCACACACACACACGCAT